GGCCTGCAGCTACTGTTGCCTCTTGGTTTCCCACACCGACTCCTCTGAGAGAGGCCTGTGTGGCCAGAGTCCCTGACAGAGAGCTGGAGAAAGCCTGACAGAGACAAGAATGCATGGAGAGTTTCAGTGTGATGGAGATGGTAATAATCTCTGTGGTTTTGGTGTTTTAAATACTGTACCTGCACAGTATCCCAGAACTGGTACTGCAGATAGTCATCGCTGACACTCTCTGGATAGCCCTGAGGCAGAAACACGCTCTGAAATAAAATATTAAAAGGTGAAGTTAAGAGGTGGACTCTATGAAGTCAACGTTGCTACATGGAAAAGCAGTAAACCCTTACTTTGAAAACGCCAACAATAGAGTTTCCTCTAGATTCACCTTGACCGCCTTCTCTTCTCCTCTCCATCAATCCATCCTTTGCTAAATACTTCCAGGACTCTGCATTACCATATCTCTCGGTGGCCAAAACCACACCACCATCTATCTCCATTTCAGCTGTTAGGAGCGAAAAGCACGGAGGTGCTGACAAAAATAACAAACTGAACAATGGCGATGTTAAAATTTTTCTGTAACAGGTTCATTTAAAGTCAGTTTCAGCTGAACAGAGGGGATTCCTGCACACAGCCGACGTGTCGTCTTCACCTGTTTTTCTTTGTGGCGTTTCCGTGTTTCCCGCCCCTCACAGTTTGGGAATTCCTCATTGGTGGATTGAGATATGGAGGCGGAGTTCCGACAGAAACCCACAACTAACAGAAGCTTTTTTTTTAAGCTTTATTGATAAGGTGTCTTTCTAACAATGAAAGTGTTGTTGCATTTTCTGTCTGGTGCCAAGTTAAACATAAGACATCAAGTAGCTCATCAAATAATCTATAAAGATAACAATATAAAGGTAGGCCACACTCAACACCTTGGTGAAAACAAAACAAGTACAATAAAATTGAAATAATAAAACTAGCATGAGTGAGGCCCTTGATGATATTTGTAAAGGTCTGTGTCAGACAGATGTGCTCCAGCAATGTTCACAGGATGAGGAGGCTTATGAGCATAGTACAGCCAAGTTTCACTTAAGTTCACCATTTACCTGATACCACCTAAAGTCAACAGCAAAATTGAATTAACCTCCTCGGCCCCGATTTTCCAAGATTTTAATTTACTCAGCGGCAATCAGATTTAGTTTTTTACCCAATAAAACATAGTGGCGACCCTGCCAGGTCATCCTTAGAAACTATGGTGAAATGTCATTATTGTGGGAGTGAAGATAATCACAGTGTCTGGCAACCCCCGTGGTTTGTATGGTCCACTACATTCAAAAATGTCTCTGACAGTCATAACTCTTGATTAACACTTTTTTATTACTCTAAAATAGTACCAGCAGTTTAGTGACGAAAGATAAGGGCTACTTTGTTGCTGCTATATTTAGAAATAACACAATAAAAATCATAACCAGTCAAATAGTCATTTGTTAATGAACAATGAATATTTCCTTTCTCTGGGTCGTAGAGCAGAATCATGGCAGGAGACACTAATGACCAAAAAGAGGCCTGTTTGACTCTGTGGTGTAGATCCAGGTTGTTATGAGTAAAATGATAATGAGCTGTTGTTTAGAGGAAGACAAAACATGAGATCTGTTTACTCCCAGATGAATTTATAGAATAAAATACTCAGGCCAACTGGAATTTGTTCAGGTTTCACTCCAAGGCAAAACAAGAGGTGCCACACCCAGTCCTGTGGTATGTGCTGTGGGAAAGGCCTAAGATAAAGGTTATAATACTATACAGTCTGTAACACTGTGACTGAGAAGGAAGAGAGGCAGTCAAGCTGCAATCACAAAGCAGAGCAGAATCTGAGAACTAATGTAACCAGGTGGGCGAGTACTTTGACAAGTTTACGTGTTGGGAGGGCAGGACAGAAAAGAAGGAAGGAGTGGGTGTGGAGTTTCGCTCCCAGCTTCTGGTCATTCAACAAACTCAGTAGCACCGGAGCAGTCATAAAGACAGGTTGGCTTCCCACCTCTGGTCTTTTGGACTTTTACTATGAGAGTGTTGGTGTTTTTGGATAACAATGTGTTCACATTTTACTGAAACTTATTGAAAGAGGGAACTTCATTAGGCCAGCGTCACCTTAAACTGGAATCCACCTGCCTACCTGTTCATTAAGACTTCAGTATCAGTTGGGGTAACACACTGGACAACCCGAGGAATCACTTGTACACTGAAGGAGTGTATCCAGACTGAAGAGTGGATTCAAAACAGTGCCATTTAATGTGATCAGGTTTGTACTTTAAAGTAAGAATTTTGCCTTCAAACGAGGTTTAATTGTGTTTAACCTTCCTGTTATGTTCTGGGTCAAATTGACCCAGTGCAAAGTAACAAAAAAAAATTTAAAAAAATAGTTAAAAATATTTTATTGGTATGAAACTTCGTCTGCTTGGCGTAATAGGTGTGATCAACATATAAAATGAAAATGGTTCAATTCACATATTTGCAACATCCCCCTGCATGTTTATATTACAAAGATACTGTTCAGGTCAACATAACAGGAGGGTTAATTTCTAACAATTGAAAAGGGTTAAATGAGAATGCACAGCATACAAAAATAGCCATGTTTTACCTTTTGATGTAAGATTTGAATCTTATAAGCTGTAGTTACTTTATAAGCTTTAGTTACTTTTCAGAACTTTAGTTTCCTTTACTTACTTTTCATACCTTTATTTTCCCTTTCTCATATATATTAAAACTGTACTGATGACTGCCATATTCTACTGAGTGAAACTTTGGAACTGTATGCTGCAAATTCTGTAGAAGGATGTCTGTACCTTCAAATAATCAGATGGCCTATTTTACATTTTAACAAAGACCTGTTGGCCTGTTTTGCACCTTCACCTAGACCCGCTTAGCATATTCCAAGTTCTGCTTTGTCATGTAGTATCTTGCAGAGACAGGGGGCCTACAACCTAGATAGAAAAGTTTGACTGTCAGCAGACAGGATGATTATGACCCTGAAAGACCCTGAACCCAACAGGCCTGTACATTATATCTGGTTTGGGCTAACCCCATTCTACACAGCGACGTCAAACCGTGGCGTCACCTGATATGCCAGCTTTACAGCTGACCGTAGCAGTAGTCAAAACATGGAGAAAATCAATGTGTGTGAATGTTGACTAAGTGGTGTGTATCTAAGAACATACAGGACATTCAGGGACATGTCCGGACATTAAGCCTAGGATGATATTATGATTAGGATTACGGCTAAACATATCATAATAATAACAATAATCATCCTGTCTGCTGACAGTCAAACTTTTCTATCTAGTTATCCTTGCCCATGTACACCCTGCTAAAATCTCCTGACAATGACTAAGCATTTAAACTAGACATTCTGTCTCCACTAAACATTTCTAATACAACAAGTATCTAACCAATATCTATCTGACTAAAAAATACCTTCTTTGTGATGAACTAGGCCAGTGTAATGCATTTCTCTTAGCTCATTGAACTAGCACTACAATAAACTGCCCTGGTCATTTTTGTTGATATATACACACATACAGTATGTCACCTGTTTCAATAGTATTGGACTGTTTTTGTACATTTAAACTGTAAACAGTAGGCAAGATAAAGTACTTGCAAAAAGGCAAAAGCATTTTGACAGTTAAGCAGCAGAGATTTTATTCCATAAGCTGACGTTTTGGCACCAATGCGATTCTGTCACAGCTCCAAATATAAAGCAGGTCACATCACATGAAAAGCCGCCAGGGCACCCAGGAGCACAAGACAATGCACGTCAAAAAATAACTCTAACAAAAACCTACAAAATATAAAATTACAAAGAAGGCACATTGGTGCTGAAACATCAGCTTATGGAAAAAAAAGTCTGCGCTGCAAAACTGTCAAAATGCTTCTGCCTTTTTGCGAGTACCTTTTTTTGCCTACTGTTTATGATTAATTTGATGTCTTGTGCAGTTGAGCACACATTGTTTGAGCCTGTTAGCCATAGCCTTTTGTTGTTACTCTCTTCGGACAACCATGGCAATAGTAAAACTGGTTTTGATGTTTAGTGCTAGCGGCAATAAAGTTGACAATTTGCTTATTTGACAATAGCAGCAGAAATGCAGCATTAAATGGTTGTGCTGTACAGTCATAGCACTTACTCCTTTTGCAAAGCAAAGGCAGACTCTGCTACAATATGAGTGTCACCACAGTTTTGATAAAGCCATAAATAGATTTTCTTCTTTTTGACATATGATGTTTTGTGCTACATACCTGTAGCTGCTCAACACTTAAAGGTTACTCAGTAAGTGAAAGTGAAAGTGTGTTTGCATTCAAGAGTTTTGATATTTGACAACAAATGTTACTAAATGTACAAGATACATGTTGAACAGTGCTTCAAGGTTCACCAGTTTATCTCATTTCTCCTGCTATATTCCACACATACTGAAGTACATACACATACACAAACACACATACACCTGTTATGATTGCTGCCCTGGTCTCTGCCAAATTGGCAATTAAACAGTGCCTACAAAGCAATCAGACAATGGCCAGGACAGATGTGACACACAGAGGAAAAGGCTTGTTTATAATATTCCCAGCAATAACTTTCAGTTCACTTGAAGAGCAGATGAATCATAATGAGATATGCTGCATGAGTTGCGCTGTTTGTCACAGACACTTAAGCTTGTTAGATGGCCTCCTATAGATGCAGATAATTGCACAATATCTGAATGGCCTCAAAACGTTATAAAGTTTATGTTTGCTAGGGCCAAACTGGTATTGTTAAAACAAGTCCTGAAGTGCTTCTCCTATTAAATGATACTAATGGCTAGTGCAGTACAGCCCTATAGAATTGTGTGTGTTATCTTGTGGAAAAACAGAGCAGTTTATTTCACTTCCTGCTCTGCTTAGAATTTTGAGAACTTGTTCTTCTTCTTTGAAGTTATTTTTAATTGTGTTTCCTGGATAAATGCTAATTAAAAATCCTTAATTGTAGACTACACATTAGCAACACTGGGGATTAGTCACAAAGCTGCTGTAGAAGAATCAACACTTCACATCACTATGCTATGCTCCACTTAAGTACTTCCTTGAGCAGAGAGATGTGGGGTAAGTACAGTATACACTGCTGTCAGTTGTGTTTGCTCTGAGTTTCTGCCTCACATGAGTGAAATAAATAAATAAAAATAGTAAAATACAGGATAAACTGGGGCGTTGGAAAAAGAATACACAACTTTTAGAAAACACCAGCTGAAATTAAAATGCACATTTTCTCCAGAGAAAGAAGGCAGTGTCCAAACTTGCATTTTATATTTGCTGGTCTCTTTACAAGATGTTTCCAGTTCTGGCCCTCATTTCTATTGACTACAATAACACTACTCTTACCAAAGTAACTCCTGAGTTTTGAGAATATGGAGATGTCACTAAAAAGAAACAAGTGGTGGATGATGAGATGTGATGTAAACAAGTTAACAGTTAGTTTATTTATCTCGTGTTTCAGCCCCATCTTTCGTTGACCCATCCAGCGCAACCTCTACATTATCACCTAACTTTTTCATTTGCTCTCATTATAATTTATAGGGCTTTACTGCTTGAACGTAAACATTTGCCATTCTGGTGTACTTGTTGTAATGACAAAATAACCTCTGCCAAATTATAGTTGTAATACTGAATTCTGCAAAACCCTAGATTACACTGAGTGACAATACTTTTTTGTTCACT